ATTAGTTAGGATAGGCTTACTAATCCTGCAATGAGAAATATTCCCAAAGCTCAGTGGTTAAAATAACAAAGGTTTGTTTTTCTTCCTCAAAGTACATGTAATCCATAGGTTGACATGAGAGTTCTGAGATATTCAGAGACTGATTCAGAGATTCAGGCAGAAGGGGGCTTTACCCTGTAATGACATGTCATTTCAACAGGACTTCCACAATTACTGAGGGAGGAAGAAGAGCCGGCATGGAGGATCTCACAGCATCTCTTAAATGCTTCCGCATGGAGGTGACATACATTGCTTCCGTTCATATGGGATAGGCCAGAGAAGTCACAAGGCCATGCCTACCTTCAAGGGGTCTAGGAAATCAGATCCTTTTATGATCCTCTTCCTCCTGGAACAAGAAGAAAACTAGAAATGTTGGCAGGCAGCGCTTATGTCCACACACACGCAAACCAGTGTGCCTAATTCTAAAGCTGCTGGTGTTAACCCCTCCATTTTTGAAAGCACATGACCCTAGAGTTTCTGTTTTGATGAAGACATTCTTTCCCTCCAATTTCTAGCTATTTCCTAATACTTGGGAAACGGTGCCAGCAGGCTCTAGGGGCTTCTGAGATATACGTGTTTATGTTGTGTTCCCCAATTACATGCTCCTTGGTAAGCTACAGATAACAATGACAAATTCTGTTTTTAATGGAGACAAAATACTGCAACTATTAGACTAATGTATTTGTTTATTTCTTTTCTTTAGTTTCTTCCTTTTCTTCATCATCTTTGTCATCATCTGTGTAGGCTTTTTGACTGGGGTCAAGAAAGTTTGAATGAATAAAGGAATGAATAAATGAATGGGGTAACTTCTTTAGCAAGACAATATGTTTAAAATTAGCCTATGAACAGAAAATGGAGTTTTCTAAATCCCTTTCATATATAAGGGGTTCAGCCAAAAGTTCCTCTGTGGATAAGATGCTATGCCCCGCTGGACAGCTAGATCTTGAGGTTGGTGCCCAAAGGTAAAGAATAAAACTATAAAGTAGAAGAAGGAATAAATGTCACCCCTCTGGGTGGCAAAGAGGAGAGAAACTGGTAGATGGGTGTGGCTAGGCATGTGTCCCTCTCCCTGTTATAATTGGAAGTACACCCATTTTAAAAAGTATGTAATCATGGAGCGCAGAGGAGAAATGAAGACCCATTTCCTATGATAACGTAATATAATAATAAGAGCTACGTTTGAAGGCCCAGGCACCGTGTCAAGTACTTCATATGTATGATTTCATTCAACCCTCACAAGGACCCTATTGTTATTTCTTTTAGCAGTCAAGGAAACTGAAGCTTAGGAAAAGCATGTCATTGGCCCAAGTCCATATTATCTAGTTAACTGACAGATCTGAACCCAGATACAGTATTTTTAAAGAGCCCAGACCCTTATCCACTGTACTATAACATCACTTTCAGTAATAGTTTGATCTAGAATTCAGTTAATTTTTGCACAGGGTGGTGTAAATGATGTAGCCTGCTCTGTCTTATGGCTCTCTGATACGTTTCTTTAAATAGAGTGGAAAGGTCAAGTCATAATAAAAATGTGACATTAATGTTATCTCCAGTGGGGCGGAGTGCAAGACAGTAACAACTTACTAAGTTTGGGCTTTTGCATTGACCTATGTTAATGTGTGATTCCATGCTATTTTGCATGGCAAGGGAAGTTTCGCAGACTTCATTTGATTGCTAGATCAATGTGAAAATGCATTATCTGCCTGCCTCGAGCATGGCCGACTGTTGACCTCTCCAATTAAGTAGACTTGAGAATGAAAATTCAATTATAATGAACAAACGTTTCTTGAACACGTTCTATGTGCAGGTCCCTATGTCAGGCCCTATGGGGAACATGCAGTTTTGTTTCTATCTTGAGTGCTTGCAAGCAAATAGGAGGAGGTAGAAATACATGCATGGAGGACTACGGTGTAACATGCTATCTTACCTGATGAAGGCAGAGGAAAGGGAATTAATTAACAGTGAAGCTGGACGGTTTGTAGGAAGCCCTTGAAACAGGTGTTGCTGGTTCCTTGCCTTCTGTCCATTTCTCTTTGGGAACGGAACTACTTTTTATCCCTTGGAAAAGATGAGTCCACCTCCAGCTCAGTGGTAAATCTTGTTTGATTGAGCCTCTTTGTGACAATCTCTTGTCTCTTGTCAGAGATTAGTTTAGAGGTGGGGATGTGACTCAGCTCTGGCCAATGAAGCATGAAGGCAAGACTTTCTTACAGTAGAGACAGCTGTGTGGCTAAGGGCACAGACTCTGGAGTGGACTGTCTGATTTAGATTCCCAGCTCCACTACTTGTTAGCTGTGTGCCATTAGGACAGCTACTTACCCTTTCTGCCCCAATTTTCCTCATCTGTTCCATGAGGTTAATAACAATACATACCTAATCGGATTGTTGAAAGAATAAAAATTGGTTAATATCACAGGTCCTCAAATAACATCCTTTTGTTTAGTGTCGTGTTATTGTAACACTGATGAGATGCTGCTGTAAGAGCTTAATTCTTATTTATGTCAATTAGCCTATGGTAAATTGGTTTCCTTGGATGTCGTTTTGTTGCAGTTCCAAGAGCCTATCAAAAACGTTAAGTGAGGACTTACTGTATTTGTAAAGCAGTTAGAACGGTGCCTGGCACACAATAAGTGTTATGTAAGTGTTCTTCATCATCATCACCATCATCAGCATCATTTTTTAAGAGGAGATACCAGAAATGATAGTCTGTTTTTATAACTCTGGACATTGGTGTGTCTGGATGAGATTCTTGTAATTTCTATGGTGGCCTTCCACCCATGTGGGGGTCTGGGCTATGACGGAGATGGCAGAGAAAAGGAGAGAAGGACTTCAGTCTTCGATGAAACCACAGAGCCGCTGAGTCGTCAATCCTGGAGTCCCCTCTACCGCTGGACTTCTTGTTATCTGACATCATAACTCTCTGTGTTTAAGTACTCTCAGCCGGGGTCTTGTGTGACCACAGTCCGAGAACCTTCCTGGTGTATGTCCTGTTGCTCCTCAGCCTGTGCACCTTCAGAGTCCTGTGGTGTCCTGGCTGGGTATCCTGGGAGGCAGGCAACCACAGAGCAGCCCCTGACGTCAGCTCCTGTCCAACGTGCTGCCACTTATCTTCATCGTGGCGGGATGGTTTCATGAAAACTGAGATTCCCAAGATTTTCCTAAATGCAGAATATAATCTTCATCATCTTCTCAGGGGACTTGCTTTGAGGTCACTTTCAAATTTGAAAACACCATGGTAATATGATTGCCCCTTAAAACATAGTCCCTTTGATTCTTAATAATTCTATAGATACAGAATTAGAATAAGTTACTAAGTTCCTCCACTAAAATAAATCCTACCCTACATACTTTATACCATTTTTAGCAACATATACTAAGCACATACAAACTTCCAAAAATAAGGTGACGAGGAGGAAAAACAAGTTTTAAGTATACATCCTCTGAGTGTTTGTCAGATATTTACTCCCCGACACCCACTGTGTAGCATATATGGGTATTAAATCTGTGCTTAACTTTTTGTTGTTGGTGGTGGTTAGATCAGGATCTTTTATTACTTGTTTATTTAAATTGGCTAATCAGAATAAAAAAAAATTTAAAGTGTTTGTCTGGAGGCTTGGGTTTCTTCTATTTAGAGGTTCGAACCTGCGCATCCACTCCTAGGAGGGGAACCCCGCACCATTGTGAGGTGGCTGAGGGATGACCCCTAATGGACAATCCCAGGGGCTTTGGCCTGCCACACCTCTCTGTCCCCAGATTTTGGCATGCGATGAAAAAAACTGTTTGTTAATTCTTCGCTCCTGGCCTTGGATTTAAAAATAATGCTACCTGTGTGAGTTTGGGGAAAGCTTGGAGGAGCTAGTTGAAGAAGCCAACCCTAATCCCTTTCCTCCAAGATGGGATAGATGATCCAACACTGTTTCTAGAGCTCGGCCAAGCTTTACTCTTACTAGTAACCTCTCCTCAATCACCCACGTCATGGGGCAAATTACAAATTCATAAATGTTACAGATCTTTGGAATTGTTCAAAGATTGGGAAAGAATACCAATTTTTTGAGTCCTTAAAAGTCATAGGTTTCATCTCTTAAGACTACTTTTATAGACTGATAATGGCCTCTTAGGGTATCAGGCTAAGGAGGACTGTGAGGCCAAGTCCCTGCTGAGCTGGAATGACTGTGGGGATTGATTATGAATGTCTGCACTGGTTGTGGGTGGAGACAGTGGCAATAGCCAAATTGTGTTTCTGCAATCCAGGGTTTACATAGTTTCTTCCTACCATGCTTGAAAGACAATTAGAACATTGTCAGACCTGATTCCATAATTCCAATTACTCTGAACTTCAGGATACATTTATTTATTTAATCAATATACATTGATGCCTGAGGTGGGCTCTTAGGTACTGAGGAACATTAAAAAACGAATTGGACTCGGATCCAACCCACAACAAATTTAATTCAAAGAAGAGAAAGATATGGGTTGTTTAGGGTATGAAGTGATAAAATGTTGCAAGAAAGGATTAGGTAAGGGGAGGGATAGGAGATCCGTCGAAGGTGAGATGTGTGAGTGTGGACGGTGGTCAGCAGGGCATGCTGGTGAGGGTGTATTGGAACGGAGCCTTGCAGTGATGTGAGTCAGCCTGTTGGAATGGACAGCCTGTTGGAATGGATAGCTTGGTGTTTCAAACGGAGTGGCCAGAATGAGGGGAAGCACCAGTGTGGAAAGCTGAATGCTGTGGGTGAGTGATTGACTGATGAGAATCTGTGGTTGCTGTTTGTTCCGCTTCCCCTGACAGAGTGAGCAGGTTGCCTGTTGGGCTTCATTAGATTATCCTGCTGATGCGACATCCATTTTTATAAGGGTTTTCCGGGGACCTGGGGAAAACTTGCTCTTTGGAAAGATTATCTTTCATCACCATTTGACGTGTGACATATAACAAATGTCTTTAAGTAAAGGAGAGTTCCCACTGGTATGTCACACTGTACTCTTTATTGTAGACCTAGGAGGACTGACAAAGGTTCCATCTGCATTTTCTTAACTATGTACAGAGTCATCAAATATTGCCAATGAAGAACATTCCTGACATCGAATTATTCCATTACATGAATAGGCAAAAAATCTTTAACACACTGTTGAACTAGGAACTAGCTATTGGTTTGTTGCAGATATTTGCAAAAATAGATTAAAATTGCAAATAGAAGATCCCTTCTAACATGGTCTATGTCATGTTGTACATATGCATACATATAAACATGAGGTAGGGTTTTGTTAACTGTCTTTTAAATACGTCAGAACTTGAAGCGATGCTTATGGCTTTACTAAAGTAAAAATAAACAGAAACCAAAAATTTTTTAAAAAATTATTTTTCAACTACATGCAAAAAGCGATAAAGAGCCAGTCTAAGAAGCCACAAGAAATAGACTTGTCAAAAAAATTAGGATGCACAGTTTAGAGTTAGAAAAAACAAACAAACATCTTTAAATAAATAAAGCTAATATACTTGTAAAATTCAGAATGCATGTTTGAAACAGGAGACATGAACTTGAATGTTGAGGGACTTCTCAGGCCTTCATTTTACTTATTGATCTTCTAAGCAAACCTAAAACAGAGAAGGTGATTCCATGACACCAAAAGTAATGAAGTTCTAGCAAGATCCAAAGCCATAGATGAGTCATGTGTTCATGTCTGCTCCTTCCCTCCTCTTCCCTCTTCTTCCCTCCTCCCCCCCTCTTCCTATTCCTGTGCCCTTCCCCGGAGATTTTATGGGCAGCCTTAGATCTATATTTACCCACTATATTTAGTAGGTTTGATTATGCATAGCCTAAATTCAGATCTGAGAGGATGATCTGGATTTTTATTCACTGAAAGAACTTTTTCTTTTTATAGGTTTACTAGTGACCCGGTGCACAGAGTCGTGCACACTGAAAGGAAATTAATTAGAAGGCGGCCAGTGGGGCGGGATGGGTGAGAAGGGCCAGACATGCCCTGGAGCCAACCTCCTGTGATCCCTCCCCTGCCAGCCACACCTCGGGCATCGCGCTGGCGTCACCACAGATAGAAGGGTGTCTGCCGAGTGAGCAGGGTCCCTCTGCAGGTGGGCCCCTCAGCCTGGCCTGCGGGGATCGGGCCTATACTGGCCCTCCAACATCCCCTGAGGGGTCCCGGAGTGCACCCAGAGGGCATTCTGCAACGTTGCTGTCGTGCAGGGTGTGGAACACAAGCAAAAGAGTGCAATAAACCAGATTCGGGGCCGACAGTGCCCCAGCAACAACATAACCCAGGGCTGAAGGAGGAATTGGGCTCCCTCCTCTCTGGTTCTGGGCTGCATCACCTGAGAACTGCCACTGCCAAGTCACTGCAGCTGGGCAGCTCCCGCGTTGAGCATCTGCCTCTTGGTGGTCAGTGAGTGTCATAGCAACCAGTTGGACAGACACTTAGCTCTTTATACATATAGATAGCAAAGGCTAATAAGCACCAACTTCTCTCTCTTCTTGCTACTCAGTAGGCTAACTTTGCCCTCACTGTCCTCTTCCTGAAGGCTCTGCTTGGACATCTGCCCATGACATCCGACATTTGAGTCTCTACCAGTTAACCCCTCTTTGGAGAGGCCACCCAGACCACTCGATGTAAATAACTCCACCTCCCATCTCTGGCCTTGCCGCTGTCTAGCATGTCATTCTGTTTGTTTCTGCTATCCCTTTATGTAGTTCTTTTTTGGGTAAGTTTTTATGTAATTGCAGAAGTTCTTTACATCTAGTAAATGTTAAACATGAGCAGAGCAAGGATGATAGGCCAGGTACAGAAACTCACCAGGGCAGAGACCCCCAGATGCGTAGCAAGGGGCAAAACTGGGACAACAAGAACCTTGTCCTTGGAGTAACCTGTCCTCCTCTAAGCATGTCACTGGTCTTGCGGTTTGGACCCCTGATCTTTCACATCGCTGGTCAGGCAGTTTAGACCCCTGACCCTTTCCTTCTTAATGATAACATTAGAGGCTAGGCCTCAGTTGTATTTCAGCTCCAGGCCCAGAAAAGCATCAAAACCAGACAAGTGATGTGTAGCTGCCGCAGGACCAGCTACATTGACTAGTGACCCCCTGCTCTGGCTCCAACCCATCCGTGGAGCCCATGACCCTGAAAGAGCACACCGGGAAACGGATGAATATTCAATTAAAACCCTTCCCTGAAACCTCCCCTAAGATTTCCACCTGCAAGAGAGAGACAAATAGGCTCCCGACAAGGACCCAGTGTGTACTCTTCTCCCACAGGCACCTATCCCCCCCCATCTCTAAGGGACTCCACGAGACTTGCAACCAGGGGAGCAATGGGCAGCGGCAGCTAATCCTGGCCTAACCCCTGAACCTGTCGCCAAGGTCCCCTTTTCTCTGAGTTCTCAGTGAGCCAAAGCAGCCCAGCCTAGGCTTTCCAGTTGCTTCTTCTATGCCCTGCCTCGTTTCATTGTCTCAAGTCTATCATGGACCCAATACCCTTCAGCTCAGTGCTGTGTGGCCCTTCCCTTTGGATATCCCCATCTCCTGCACCTTCTTCCTTAAATAAATTCAATTTTTCTTTAATTACCATCTGAGAGGGCTATTTAGCCTGCCCTCCCACCATTGATGTTAACCTTTTATTAAAATTTACCCTTTTTGGTGTATAGTTAGTTCTCTGAGTTTTGACAAATGCATGTGACCATATACTGCCACCACTGCGATCAAGATATAGAAAAACGCCATCATTGTGAAAAATGTCCTGTTCCTCTTTATAGTAATGCTTCTCCCAACCCTAGCTTTGATCTGTTTTCCGAATCAAGTGTTGCATTTTCCAGAATGTCAAATGAATGGAATCATATAATCTGCAGCCTTTTGAGTATGGCTTCTTTTATTCAGCATAATATTTTTGAGACTCATCTGTATTATTACATGTATCATTCCTTTTTTAAGAAAATTATTCCATTTTCTGGATGGACCACATTTTGTTTATTCATTCTCCAGCTGAGATACATTCTAGTCATTCCTATATTTTAATAATTATAAATAAAGCCACAATAAACACTTAAATATAGTTTTCATTTCCTTTGTATAAATACCTAGGAGTGGGATTGCTGGGTTATATGGTAAGTGAACATTTAACTATAGAAGAAACTGTCAAAATGCTTTCTGCTATGGCGGCACCATATTGTATTTCTACTGGCAATGAATGTGAATCCTGCCAGCTCTCCACCTTCACCAGCACTTGCCAAAAATCGTCAGGACTTTTACTTTAGCCATTCTGCTAGGTGTGCTGTGGTATGTCATTATGGTTTTAACTTTCACTTCCCTAATGACTAATGATGTTGAGCACCTTCTCATGTAATTTGCTATTATATCTTTTTGATAAAGTGTCTGGTCAAATCTTTTGCCTTCTGAAAAATTGTTTTTGTATTATTGGGCTTTTTTTGAGAGTCTTATATCACTAATTCTTTTTATATTCTGGATACTAGCTTTTTCCAAATATGTGATTTCCAAATATTTTCACCCAATTTGTGACTTGTTTTTTTTTTCATTCTATTATAATATGCCTTTAAAAGATCACAAGTTGTAATTTTGATAAAGTATAATGTATCAATTTTTTTTTCTATTTATGAATTGTGTTTCTGGTCCCATATTTAAGAAATGTTCATTTAACCTAAGGTCACAAAGATTTTCTTTTATGTTTCCTTCCTAAAAGTATTATATATCTTTTTAGGTTTTACATTTTAATCTCTCATCTTTTTGAGCTAATTTTTATAGATGGTGTGAAATATGGATGAAAGCTCACTTTTCATTGCACACAGATATCCAGTCATTCCAGCACCAATTTTGAAAGACTCTATTGAACTGCCTTTTCAACTTTGTTGAGAATCGATCAGTACAGATGTTTGGTCTATTTGTGTCCTCTGTTCCATCCATCTGCCGACATATCATCCTTTCACCAGTCTGAACTGCACTTCCTTGATTACGGTAGCTTTATATTAAGTCGTGAAATCAGGTTGATATGACTCTGTTTATCTTTTACAGGGGTGTCACGTTTTTAAGCATCCTCATCTGCTTAATTAAATATGTCAGTCAGACTTGCTGCTGAGAGAGAGAAAAGGGGGAAAGAAAGGCACCTGCCCTTCACTCAGCAGTCCATCTGTTCTGGCAGGGCATGGCCGTCCGGGCATCTTTAACAAGCTCTCACTTTGCCCTTGCGGCCACAGCGTTTCTGCCTTCATACAAAGCAGGTGCTGGCCAACGCCAAGCACAAAGCCTTCTCTAGGTGGTTTTATGGTAAAAACCTTGTTCTTGTAAGATGAAGTAGAACTGGGTGGGAGTCAAGTTTATATGGCTCCTACATTCAAAAGGCGAGCTTTCTAAAACTCTCCAGACACCTATTTTCTTTTCCAAAATCAAAATGATTCTATTTGGAACGAACTACAAATCATTCCCATTTACCTTATTGAGAGAGTTGGAGAGCAGAGGGAAGGAAGGAAAGGGAGGAAGAAAGGAGGAAACTTACATTTATTGAGCACTAATGACTGGGACATGGTATGGGAATTCTTGCAGTCTCTCAAGTGAGGTTTGTGTTGTTTATCCCATCTTATAGATGAGAAAACTAAGGCCTAGGCAAGTTAAGTGGTACTAGTCTGCTCTCTCCGGCCCAAACCTGTGTCCTTCCCTTTACATGGCAGGAGTATGTAAATGAGGGATGGGAGTGAGGACTCCGCCCTGGCCTCAGAATTAAAGATGAGATTCACATACTTAATTGGCGATGGATTTCAGAAATCATACCATGTGTAACAACTGGCACACCCCACACAAAACTTTAGCTTTGTCTGTTTTTTTTCCCTCCCCTGCCTCAAGGTCAAAATTTCATTTTCCCATCTCTGCCAAAGAATTCTTGTTTGGTTTCCTGAGTTCCCTCTTCTCTTTAAGCTTTTCAGTGCTACAGAGACATAATGCTTTGAATAAAAGTCTTAGGGAGACATTATAATATACGAGACAAGTCTTTTAATAAGGAAGTAAAGAGTAACCATGTCCAGTGGTTTTATTTGTGTGGTTGATTGCATGTGAGGATTTTTAATGACCTCATGCTGAATGGTTGTAAAGATAGGGAGTTTTCCCAGAAACATGTGTTGTAGCTGTCTCATTGTGGCAAGTTCTTTGTGTCAGATAAACTCTGCACATCTTCTAGAGAAGTATGTCCTGGCTTACATGACCTCAGAAAAAGTCTCAAAAATATACTTTAAATGGACTCATGTGTAAGCTATAATTGGAATGCTACTACATAAAAATCATCCCTCAGCGGATGAAGGTCATAGGAGGTCACCCTTAAGCTCTGCAGACGAGAAAAGCAAATGCCAGAAGAAGAGTGACCTTGCTTGAGGTCACACGGCTCATTCCAGCTCAGCTGAACAAGAATTCACTTTGCGGAGCTCTTCAGGGCTCTCTGTTTTAGGGCCAGATTGTTAAATACTGGATTTTGTTTAATGCCACATAACATATTCAACTCGGTATCAGGAACAACGTCTCCTCCGAGAGGAAGAGTAGAGGCTTGTTCTCCCCTTAGGGAAGATGGGAGTATTCTGAACCTCTTTACCTGGTCATACGGTCAACTGAGATTTTGTATGCATAGGTGTGAAATGGATGAAAACATTTCTTACCTGAAGAAAGGGTTCTTTAAATCGAGGATGTTCCCAGATCTGAAGCCCGTCTGGTTTACCAGTGCCACAATCTGAATGTCATAGCTCTGTCTGTATGGCAAACACAAATATACACAAATCATCTACCAAAGCTGGTTAGCTACTCACATACATTTAGAGCATCTTCTACACATACCTACTTCATGAGGGTTTTAAGTATACGTATTAATATTATACATGTCCAAGTGTATTTATTTAGATGCTATTAATGTTGTAGCAATTGAAGTCTTTACTTGTCAGAAGACTTTAATAGTTATAATTTCTTGATCTAAAAATTACAAAGGTAATGGTATTCTGAATGGTCAAAGTGATTTTTTTTGACAACAAAAAAAAAAGCTTTAGCAACATCAATGACAGAAATGACTTTAAGTAACAGATACACTTTATGGGTCACCATTGTACCAATACAATCTTAATCATGAAAGGATTGCCTAAATTAAAATAGCAACCTCACATAAAACAGCTAACAAATGTGATTGATTTTAAGAGGCCTCAGTTGAAGGCACATACAATTATAATAAGAGGAAGTGGCTGATAAAAACAAGAAATATGACATATTCTTGATGATTAACCTTGAAGGGACCTGTTTATAGGATTTTTATTAGTCATTCCCTCAAGAATATATGTATTTCTTATGGTTATAAGTGTTAAGTATTCACTGTTGAAAAAAAATGAGAAAAATAAGAAAAAAATAAAATAACCCATAATGCACTAGACAAAAATTCAGTTAACATTACAGAGCACTTCTCTTCTATGTTTTTTCTTGTATGTATTTATAGATGTAAATTTTTACCTAAAAGATGCTTAAAAAGACCTTCACACTTCCTTATTTTACTTAACATTAGCAAGTGGTTATTTTATAATTCTTAAAAATGTGTTTCTCAATAGCATAATGTAGATATAGCATGATCTAATATAATAATTGAGGGATATGCAAATTAGCCAGGATGCTGTAAACGTCATGACCGATCTACAAGCAGCTGAGACCTACAGGAGGGTGGTGCAGCGAGCTATCAGCAGGGAGAGCTACAGGAGGGCGGGGCAAGGTGCTACAGAGTGGCGGAGAGCTACCAGTGATGGTGGGCGGGGTGGCCAGCTGAGGCAAGTGGCAGTGAGCTACTCATGCACGGATTCGTGTGCAGGGCTACTAGTTTATTTAATAATTCCCCATTGTTACATGTTTATATCTTTAAAATCAGATATTACTCATAGTGACACAAATCCAGTTTTATGACAGAAATTCTGCTGCACAGGACATTCTTGTAATACAGCTCTGTGTCCTATCTATGACTATTTGCTTGGAATAAACTCCTAGATGTACACTCACCAGGCTAAAGCACATAGATGTATTTAAGGTTCCCAATACCTACTGTTAGAATGTCTTCAATTACTTCCTCACTGACAAAGTATGACAGTGTTAATTTCATTACACATTTTCCAATTCTTAATATTTAAATATTATTATTCATTATTTAATTAAAATTTCCTTAGTTACGAGGTTTCCCTTTTCAATTCCAGATATTAGTGAGTGATATAAATTCTTCCATCCTCACTCCCACCTTGTCATTGCTGATAGTGACGTGAGTAGGCTTAAATATAATGTCAGATCCTGTGTGGCCAGTACCTCAACTTTTAGATTTTATTGGGGCCAAACAAAATAAGAGAAAAATATAGCCATACATTTTTTGCAAAAAAATCAATTATGTCCTGTTTCAATTTATCTAGTTGACTCAGCACTTTTGTTTTAAGATGTTTCTGCCAGGAGGCCTACAGTTAGTCCCCTACTGTGATACTTGATGGCAGATTTGAGGTGAACCGGACATTGGAACAATGAGCTCCTTAGGAGAGGCGCAACCCTTGCTGGAATCACAGAAAGGCTGAGAGATCACCCTCTCAGGGAGGGCCCTGGCTGGTGTGGTCCAGTTGATTGGGCATCATCTTGTGCACTAGCTGGTTAGATTCTGGTCAGGGCACATGCCCCTCGATGCCGGCAGGTGGCGTGCAGTAGGCAGCTAATTGGTGCTTTTTTCTCTCTCTTTCTCTCCTTTGCCCTCTCTAAAAAAAACCCAAATCAGTAAAATATCTAAAAATAAAAAGTCAGGGAGGGACACACCTATACATTTTGCCAAATGAGAGATACCTCCTTAACAATATTTGAAATAATTAATATAGAACTCCGAGGTATGTGCAAATGTGTATGCCTATGGATGCACATGGGAGTCAGGTTCGTCACAACTAAGAACTGAATGGTTCCTGTTGTGGTTGGGAAGAACAGTCAGTAAAGGTTTGCTGTAGGGTCTTTAGCAAGGCTCTTTTCAGAATACCAGGTATGATCCGTTACAGTCCTTTTCAGTCACATTGTCCTTTATAGTCACTTTTCACAGCCCACTCTTCTTCCTTACCCAGGATCTAAGTCCCACCTTCCCTACGGAAGGAAAAGAAAGCTTCAGGTCACCTCATGGCATGCCATGGCTCAGTTTGGTCAGTAAAAGCTGAGATTTGTCCTTAAAACCCTTCGATGAGTGTGTGTGTGTGTGATGGGGGATGGGGAGAGGGGGGATGGTGGTGGTGGTTAGGGAGTGAGCAGGGGGATGGTTAGGTTCACTGATTTGATAGTGATTCACTAACCAAGGGAAATGTGACCTCACCTAAAGTTTTAGGAAAATAATGCGCTTTTCTATCCCAGGAATAGTGTCATGCTAGTGCAAAGATACCCAGGAGGCCAAGTATAAGCCCCAAAATTAATGTGCAATAATTAAATAACCAGTAATGGATAATCTTCTAAAACTATCCGTAAATGGGGCCTTAAATAATTATCAATTCTTCTGAACCTATTATTTGGCAATGTGTATTAAAAACAAACAAATAAAATATCCTAGTTCTTTGCCATTTTAAATCTTACAAAGACAGCTCTGGCCAGGTGGCTCAGTTGGGTGGAGCTTGTCCCATACACCAATAGGATGTGGGTTCAAATCCTGGGTCAGAACACATGACATATAGGTTTTGGATTTGATCGGTGGTCGGGGCGTGTATGGGAGGCAACTAATCGATGTTTCTCTCTCACACTGACCTCTCTCTATCCCTCCCTCCCTCCCTTCTCTCTCCAAAAGCAATAAAAATATATTCTCAGGTGAGGATTAAAAATACATATATAAGTAAATCTTATGGAGACAGAGCAAGGGACATAAGTGGGGATATAACTAGTTCAAGGTTTGACTACAAAAATCATCACTTTATATACCAATATTTCTTTTGTAATATTCCACAAGAATTAAAAACTTGGGAACATAAGTGAAACATGTCTTTTCTGGAAAATGTGATATCATGATAATTTCATCCCAGAGAAAACAGAAGGTGCAAGAGCGAGACAGCATAGGGCTGACCATCAAAGAAGAATAGGATGGAGAAGAGAAGGTGTGGGAAGTGTAGGGGGGAAATGGCCAAGTCACTTGTGGAGTTACTGATAAAGGAAAGAAAGAGCACCGCAGCCACAGGCATGGAGTCTAGGTCAGTGTTCTTCAGCGGGGCGTGAGTGTGCCCCCGAGAGGATATAGAACAACACGCTGGGGTAGGGAAGAAAATATTGGACAGTTATTTTGAATTTTTCCAGTTAGTTGTTGCTGCGAATTGAATTGTGTCCTGTCAAAATATATGCTTACATCCTAACCCCAATTGCCTGTCAATATGGTCTAATTTGGAAATAGGATCTTTGCACCTGTAATGAAGTTTAAATGAGGTCATACTGGAGTAGGATGTGCCCCAAATACAATGACTGGTGTCCCCATGAGAGAAGAGCCCTGGCCAGTGTGGCTCAGCTGGTTTGCATGTGTCCGGTGCACCAAAGGGGCGCCACTTTGATTCCCACTCAGGGCACATACCCGAGCTGTGGGCTGGATCCCTGGTGGGGGATGAGAGGGAGACAGCCGTTCGATGGTTTGCTCTCACATCAATGTTTTGTTTTCTCTCTCTCCTCGTTCCTCTCTCTCTAAGAATCAATGAAAATCTTAAAAGAAAAAGAAGAGGAAGAAGAGGAGAGAACACATAAAGGTACATATAGGAAAGAAGGCCAAGTACAGACAGGCAGAGACTGGAATGATGCAGCTACAAGGAACAGAAAGGGTTGTCGGGCACTACCAGAAGCTGAAAATCACAGAAAACCTTCTTGCCCAGAGCCTCCAGAGGGAGTATGGCCCTGCTGACATTTTGATTGCAGGCTTCCAGGCTCCAGAAGAGCAAGAAAATAAATTTCTGTTGTTTTAAGCCAACTGACTTGTAGTAATTTGTCCCACCAGCCCTAGGAAACTAAGGCATTTGTTTACCAAATACATGTTGAGCACTAGTGAATTTACTGGGTAGATGCAGGATTCTAATCATCATCTAAGAGCTAAGCTATCGGTCATGTTCACACGGTTTCTCTGTTTCTGCAAAAGTAAGATTCTGTTTGTACCTGAAATAATGTGGTTTAACATTACTAAGTAATACTAAGCATGTGCTGGGAGATTCTCAGTAACATTACAGAACACAGACATGTCACTTAAAACTATACCAGCACACACTACAACTTTACAGTGCCTTACGGTGCACAATAATTCCTTCTGAGGCAGCTGTCCAAATATACAGCTATCTTAGGTGCAGTCCAAGGTAGACCATTCGGGGGAGGGGGGCACTTGAAGCTTTCAAAAGCTTTAAGAGTTTGATCAGCATTTCTTTTAATTCTGTAAATCACAAAGTTCGCCAAACGCTCTGCAAACCAAGTCCCCTGGCAAACCTGGGTACAGAGTCCTTCACAGGGATCTCAAACCCATAAAGTATGTTTCGGAACATTCTGGCACAGGATAGGTGGCTGAGTTACACCCAACAATCAGCCTACATTTAATTTTCAGTTCATTCTTTTTATTCCTGGTTTTGTATATCTTATATACATTATGTGAGTTTCTATATGTGTGTATACAGAGACATGTTTATGCATGTGTATATTAGTATAATATCCATCTATATAGAGAGCTTAGGTGGGTGCTTTCTATTATTATCGTAGAACATATACATAATTA